CATTGACAACTGGAACTCTCAACTTGCCATCCATATATCTTTTTTGGTGGTGCCTGTTCAAATTTTTTGTCCACTTGGTGATGGGGAGTCTTAATTGTCTTATTATTGAATTGTAACAATGCTTCATATATCATATATCATAATCTTTGTCAGATATATTTTATAAATATTTTCTCCCAGTACATGCTTTTTCATAGCAATCTTTTGAAAAATTCCTGAGTCTGACAAACTATAGTTTGTTTATTTATTTATTTGTTGCATCGATCTTTTCTACTTGAGCAAATTGGGTAGTTTGTATTTTAAAGAATTTATTTGTTTGTCAGTGATCAAACATTGGCAAAAGGTTTTTTTAAATGAATATTTCCTTATTTCCCTTTCAATATCTGTATAATCTATAATGATACCTTCTCTTACTCTTGTTGATAATTTGTTTCTTACCTGTTCTTTTTACTCCTAACCTGTGTTTCTGGAGCTTTATCAATTTTAGTGATCATATCAAAAAACCAGTTTTTGTTTAATTGATTTTCTTCACTATCATTTTCTATTTTAGTGATTTCTACTCTAGTGCTTTTTTTTTTTTTAATTATCTGGGGTTTAATTTGCTATTCCTTTCTTGATTTCTTAAAATGAGAACTTAAGACTGTTGTTTGAGGACTTCCTTAATACCTGGTATATGTTATAGCAATAAATTTCCCTCTAATTGTTTCTTTAGCTGAGTAACGTGCATTTTGATATGCGCTATTTTCATTTTTATTTAGTTTGGAATATTTTCTATTTTTATTGTTTCATTCATAAGTTATTTAGAACGTATCCGAACAACAGAATATCTTTCTGTTGCTCATTTCTACTTTAACATCATTGTGGTCAGAAAATGTATTTTTTTCTGATTTGAACCCATCCAAAGTTTATGAACCTTGTTGACACAGAATATAGTCAAGATGCTAAACACTCCTTGTGCACTTGAAAAGAATATATGTTCTGCTGCTGTCAAATGGGATGTTTATAAATGTTAAGTGCATTTAATTGGTAGTCATACTGTTTTAAGTCTATAGCCTTATGTATTTTCCATTTGTTAGTGTCTGTTCTATTAATATTCATATTAATATAACAAGCACAGGTTTCTCTTGATGTTAGCATTGTATATCTTTAACTATCTGTTTCAGGCTACATTGTTGTTCTCCTGCCTCCCTTCCCACCCCTACCAAATTCATTGTTGAAGCCTAACACTCCCCAAGATGATGGTGTTTGGAAACAAGGCCTGTAAGGAAGTAATTAAGGTTAAATGAGGCCATAGAGTGGGCCCCTAATCCAATAGGGCAGATGAACTAAAAGAGGTTAGAGACAGCAGGACATTGTGTGTGTGTGTGTGTAAAATAGGTCTTTAGTGGACTAAATTTATATTTTTCTCTCCTGGTTTTTATGTTACCATTGTATATTTTACTTCAACCTGTGTTTTAAATCCTACTATATGTTGTTCTTTTTATTTAAATGATTGATTATGTTTTAAACAGATTTTTAAATATAAGAAGTCATTTATACATATTTACATTCATATTTGCCATCATCAGTGTTGTTTGTTGCTTTGTGCATATCCAGATTTCTATCTAGTATTCATTCCTCTTTGCCCAAAGACTAAATGTTTTTGTAGTCTATTGATGATGACTTCTGTCAGCCTGTGTATGCTCTGAAAAGTTATTTGCCTTCCTGTTTGAAAGTTATTTTTACCAGATATAGCATTGTAGGTTGATACAGCTTTATTCTTTCATTTCTGTGAGTTGCTCCACTGCCTTTTGGCTTGCTTGGTTTACAGTGTCACGTCTACTGTGGTATTAGTTAGCTTTCCACTGCTGTGACAAAATACCTGAGCAAAACAATTTAAAAGGAAGAAAGACTTATTTTGGTTTATGGTTTCAGAAGAAATCAATCCAAGGTGATTTGGCCCTTTTATTTCTGGGCCTGTGGTGAGGCCTTACATCAAGGTGGAGGGGTGTGGCAGAGCAAAGTTCCTCACCTCGTGATGGCCTGTAGCAGAGAAAGAGAAGAGATCTGGGACAAGATGTAGCCTTCAAAGGCGTGCCCCCCCCCCCCCCCCCGGTGGCCCATTTCTTCCAAAGAGGCCCCACCTCCTAATGGCCTATTCAGATGTGAACTCATCAGTGGGTTAACCCACTGTTAGTTGGTTAGCTCACCTGTCCACTCATTTCTGTATACCCTGACTCTGACCTTTTGCCATATTGGGGATTGAGCCTTCAACACAATGAGCCTTTAGGGCGGCACATTTCATATCCTAACTTAGCACCTGTCATTCATGTATGTGTCCTTCTGTATGTAATTTGTTCTTTTGTTCCTGGCTATTTATCATTAATTTTGAATAGTTTAATCATGATGTGCCTTGGTGTAGTTTTCTTCCCTTATATCTTGTGTTTGAGGTTCTTTGAGTTTCTTGGGTCTACAAATTTACAGTTTTCATCAAAAATGGAAGTTTTGGGGGTATGATAGTTTTCAAATATTTTTATGCCCCATCTGCCTTTCAGAACTTTACATGTATGTTATATGATTATATTTTCTAATTACATATAATTATAAATAATCATATAATTATGAAGATATAACCACATGTCTATTAGAGTATATCAGGCTATTGTCTATATCTAAGCGTAGTTTTCCAGTGGTGTGTTTTTAGTCTTTTTTATTTCTGTGCTTCATTTTGGACAGCTTTTAACAAGATTAACAGTCTTCAAGTTCATTCTTCTGCAGTGTACAATTTGCAATTAATTTCCTCCATTGTATTTTTTGCCAGACACTATACTTCCCCTCTAGTTGTTCAATTCAGTTTTTCTTGTATCTCCCACCTTTCTAGTTACTATGGTTTAGATCTAGAATGTCCCCCCAAATTTTCAAATATGTGGAAGATGGTAGGATCGTAAGGTGCTGTATTCATCCGTAGATTTGTTCATTTATTCATTCGCTTCAGTAGCTGAATGTGGTGTGAGGAGTGGGGTCTGGCTGGAGGTATGCCATTTGGGATATTGTTTGCATTCATGAATCCAAGTACCACGCTATTTGACATACCCATTAAAAGGAAGAAAGATATATTTTGGCTTGCAATTTCAGTGGTTTTAGTTCATGGATAACTGATGCTATTGCTTTTGACCTAAGGTGGGATAGGATCATCATGACAGAAAAAACAGAGCAAAAGAAAACTGCTCACCCCATGGCAGCCAGGGAGCAATGCCAGGGCGAGAAAGCCAGAGAAGAAAGAATCAGAGACAAGATACAACTTTGTAGGGCACACCCCAGTGACCTACGTCCTCCTACTATGCTTCAACTTCTAAATACCTCCTTCAGCTATGAACTCATCAGTGATGAATTTATAGTTAATACTCTCACAATCTATTCTTCTCTCCAGGCATCTCTTGTCTGTTAATCCAGGACTGCCATAGTACTGAAGCTTATTCTCTAACTTCATTTTACATACCAGTTGTAGTATACCTAACTGGTTTAATATTCTTGTCTTCTAATTTTGCCTCTGGGTTATTGTTACTGTTGATTTTTGTATTTTTTTTTTCTTGATCTCTTTTTTAGGATATAAAAGTCCTGGGAAATAATTTGGTATTTTTGAGGCCTGCTTTTAAACTGTTAGGCAAGATCAGACTAGTCTGTAGTCTATGGCTAATTTTACATTATTAGAGCAATACTTTCCTCAGTGCTCCACCTGGTGCACTGTGAATTAATGAGTTTTTTGTGCCATAACTGGTGGGAGTACATACTATTCTGGCCCTCAGAGAGCTCTGGGGACTGTTCCCCCTACTTCTTTGGGTAGTCCCTTTCTGCAACCCTTGTTGATGTCTTCACATGCGTGTGCTAACAGCATGAAGACTGGCAGGGCCCCCTGCTAGTCTTGGTGCAGTGCTGTCCTCTGGTACTCTTTCCTGCAGGCTCTGGTTGTGTGAGTCTGCCTGGATTCCCAGCTCTGGATCCTCCCTGCTCTGAGTCCAGGAGCTCTCCTGGTAGTCAGACTTACAGATGTGTTGCCCTTTCTGAGTTAATTATCCTGTGCTGTCTTATGTTAGGTGTCTGAAAACCATTGTATGTATGTATACATACACACACACACACACACACGGGTTTTTTTTTGTTGTTGTTGTTTACTTTTCCTTACTTATTTTGAGGGAAGGAAACATCAACCTAATCTCCATTATTCCATTTTAACCCAAGGAAGTCCAACAGTCTAACTTATTTTTACATACAAGCAATCTTCCGTTTGCCTTCCAAATTTTTTTTATTATACATTTTAACTATAGTTCTTATTCTTTATTACTGATGATTATTCTTTAATATAACATAATTAACTTCTAGGTTTTGTTATACTAAGCAACTTTGCTATATCATGTATTAGTCATCCGTCAGGTTTCATTGCAATAACAGTACTAAAATCTCAAGGACTTGCAATGGCAAATGTTTATTTTTCACTCATGGCACATCCATCACTGGCCATTGGAAAAAGTATGCTCTATATCTTATTTATTTTAGGACTTAGGCTGAAGGAGCAGTGCTTAATGGGACATGTCTCTCTTATGGCAGAGGGAAAAAGACTGCATAATACCATAAATCTTACAACTTTTCCTTTGAGTATGCATATGTTACACCCACATTTTATCAGCTGTGGCAGGCACATGGCAAGCATGAGGTCTAGTGAGAGGTGTGTTGTGCACAGTGATGTGTTGGCTCGTATATGATCATGAAAACTTACTGTGCGTGTCCCTTCCCAGCACATTTAGGGATATCATGTTGGTAAGCTGAAATTAGCTATGTTTAGTGCTATGATTTGACGAGTATGTTAAAAGGTCCATGTGTTAAAGCCTTCATTCTCAGGCTGCTGCTATTTAATTTGAAGATGGTTAGGAATCCTAATGAAAGATCGTAGCTTATTAGGGCCATACGCTTGCTGAGGTCTGTAGGACCCCAATCTTTTCTTTTCTTTTCTTTTTTTTGCCCAGCCTCTTCTTTCTTCCTGCTTACACATATAAGCAGTTGTGCTCCACCACTTGCTCCCTGCCTTTGCCATCGGCCATCACCACCCCTACAAAGGCCTCCCAAAATAGGACTAAGAATGGGCTAGAACCTCCAAAATGGTGAGCTACATAAACCTTTTTTGTAAATTAATATTCTCAGGTATTTCACAGTAGTGACAGAAAGCTAACTAATATATTAATCTCACTGTCTGATTCATAGAACTCTTGGGTCCTGTAAAGTAATCTCATACTTTGAGAACTCTAAAGAAAGTGAATTTTATCATGTATCCTATAACCAAAGCAAAAAATTCTTATATGGTAATATTTAAATTTCTTGCCAAGATTTTTTTTTTTCCTTGTTAGGGATTGAATCTAAGACTACACACATGGTAGGCAAGCACTCTACCACTGAGCCATATCTCCAGCTCTAGTTTATATTTCTTTTTTCTCATTAAAGATTTGTTTATTCAAGTCTCTGAAAGCATTCTACAATGGAAACATTAGGTGCTTTTATATTGTGCTATGGACTGCACAGTACTGCCATACTGTTTTCAGAAGACTTGAAATGCCACTGATAGTTTAAAAACTGTACACCGGATAGAAAACCAAGGAAGATAATTTAATGTTTCATCCGATTCAGAAGTGCTCCACTTGACAAATGACTGTTACATGATGGTATCCAAGAAACAGTTGGTGACAGATAAATTCAGAAATGCTCTCCCCAAAGTGGTTGCTTCTTTAGAAGGTTTCGGGTCACAGCCTAACTCTTGATCCAGGAAACATGGGTCTTCCAGGTTCCATGTGTCCAGGATGCTCTAACAATCATTTTTCTGTGCTGTTATTAGAGGGTCCTTTGGACTGGACAGGGAAACAGGTGGGAGGTGTTCACTATCAGTCATAGTGGATGGCAGTGTGAAAGATGATCCAGATGACCATGAACAAAGCACAAGAAGTCATAAATCCTTCTGTGAGTTTCCACATGCAACCATATTCTTCCTGATCAATCTGTAGATAGTTGCTGAAGTGGAGGTACAGGACTCCTGCATTGATCAGGCAGAATCCTGCTGTTCCCAAGAAATTTTGCAGTGGCAAAACTCCCCAAATGGCATCCAGGACCACAGCGATGATCGGGCACAATGAATAAAAATTCATTGTTGTCCCCCCAGGCCATGTCACTCCACAGCACCTTGCTTCAAACAGAGACTGAAGGCGCCGTTGGCCAGCTGTGGTGGAGGCGGCTCCTCCTTCCTCATCCTCCCGTTGTGCCACCCAGGCAGGGCCTGGGGTGTGTAGGCCAAGCCAAAGGGATTCGGGGAACGGGATGCGGCATACAGTGCACTGGGCAGCAGCAGCAACATACCCTCATCTTACCGTTTAAAACATTTCTTAGTGTCTCCTTTGGCCAGGAGCAAATACACTTTATTTTCCATCTTCTCTATATTATTTTCTGCCCCCTCTCAGGATAGCCTTATTCACGGAATAGATTCAGTTATAAGCCATATAAATTTAATGATTCTTTCAGATTTTCCCCCACCTCTAACCTAATTTCTTAGACTTTAGACCCGTTTAGATCCTAGTGGACATCACTGCCATGTCCCAAAGACTCCTCAGGTTCAGTTGGAACTTGGCCCACCACTTTTTTAAGAGTAACTTTATTAAACCAAAAATTTGCACATCTCACAATCCACAGACTTAAAATATAAGCCTCAACAGAGCTTATCGCCTTGACAGAGCTGTACATCCTTAATCATGATCAAACATAGTTTGTTTTTGCTCACCCAAAGTAAAACACTCTATGTACAGGCCATCATATCAGTACCTTCCACCAAATCCAGGCAACCGCTAATGCATTTTCCTACCTCATCGATTTTCATTCTGAGGATTTTTTTTTCTTCAAAATAGACCATGCTTTTAACAACAACAAAGATTTTTCTTTTCTTTTTTTTTTTTTTTTTGTATCAAGGATTGAACTCACAACCTCATACTTACCAGGCGGGAGCTGATGCTGCTGAGCTAAATCCCCAGCCCTAACAAAGATCTTAACATATCCAAATCTGCAAAGAGAACTTCTACACCATATTAAAGCAAAACCAGAGACACCTAGACTACATCACTCTTTTTTCTTCTTCTCTCTTTCCTATTACATTTTTCATTTGAGAAATACGATGTACAAGCCTGTGTATCTGATTTACTTCACTTAACATTATAGTCTCCAGGTGAATGCATTTTCCTGTGAATGCCTCAAGCAAGTTTATCTTTCTTAAAGCCAAAGTAATATTCCATTGTGTATAGATACCACATTTTCTTTATCCATCCCTCTGTTAATGGGCGTATAGGCTGACTCCAAGATTTAGCTATTTTGAATTGTGCTGCTATGAGAACTCAGTTCCTTTCAATCCTTGTCTCCTATTACTTTGCCTGTTTCCTACCTCTAATATTGTTTCCGTCATCCTACATCCCCACCGTACTGTTCAGCTCTATAGTAAATGTACGTAACACTCCAAATCATCTGGCTTCATATTTTCCTGCTACTTGCTTGCTCTTTATACTCTGGCAGTGCCACGGACCACTTCTCTAAATATTCCTTGATGCTTCATGTCCTTGTGTGTGCTGTTGTTTCCTTCTGCTTCAAATACACTCTTCTCTTTACCTGTCTGAGAAAAACATCCCACTGAAGCTCAGTTGAGGCCTCCCTAAGTCACATATAGTCAGTCAACCAGTTCTTCTTTTGTTCTTACTCTACTTTGTATATACTCATATACTCATCTTTTCTCACTGTGTCCATTGTCTGCATGCTGTGTGCCGTGTGGACCAAGTTCCTCAGAATCAGTGAGCTGTGCCTTGTCTGTGTCCCTGACTTAATATCTGGCACCTGTTAAGTATCTCATAAATATTTGATGAAAGTACAAATGAGCAAAGAAAATCATATTTGGAACCCATGTTCATTGCAGAAGTTTTTGTGTGATAAAGAAGAATAAGCTAATTAAAACTACAACAGGAGACATTTCCCCGCATCAGAAAGCTTACGTGAGCAGATAGGGAGCAGTAGATGACCCCCCAGACATATCCCACAGGCATTCAGTTTTCTGGAGACTTGCATCCACATTGGTCCTGGCATGATCGACAACCTGATGAACCCAGACAAGACTAAGATAAACTACTTGTCCTCCAGTAGAATAAATATTTCAAATAAAGTCAACCCAAGAAAGTTAGGCCAAACAGCTATTGATTGCTAAAAGCCTGAACTTAAACCTAATGAATATTCCAAAGTTCACCTCCATGCAACTTGGCTAAATGGTGATCAATATGCAATTACTGCCCCCTTTAAACGTGTCTTAGACTGGCTACCTGAAGAAAGGTTTTACTTTTAAAACTCTTTTGTTTCTTGAATTTGCTTAGGTAAGGGAAAAATTGACATGGCTAAACCTCAGCCCTTTGCTTTTAGTATTTCAGTCGACTGTTATTTGTGAGATGGTTTCCTCAATGTATGCTGAATGGCAATTGAATATGCCCTGTTCCGTGACTGTCATTCATTTCAGGAGGCTTTTCCTGAGTGACTAAGCAGGGCAGATATTGTATCTCAGTTTCCTGATTTCTGCTTACTTGATTATCCACACTAATCATAACCATTGCACGTTTAAGCTTGTCAAGTAGGATGCTGCAGTCCAGCTGTAGTGAAAACAAATATATTATTTGCCTAGTTTCCTGTTTGAATTTCATCTTTATATAAAAATAATATAAATCCTCTGCTGAATTTGTAACCTTGTTTTGTCTGCTTCTGATAGTTAATACTTCATATTTCTCTCAAGTATGTCTTTTTCATATTGCCACCACAGTCACAGCCTTTTGTCATTTCTTACACAGTTGCCAAAGTGTCCTAATTGTCCTCTCTGCCTCAGACTTTGTCTCTCCAGCCCCTTCGTCTCATTGCTGCCAACGTAAGCCTTCTAAAATGTGTCCCTCTGGGGCCTTCCCTTGCCTAAACCTCTGACATTTCTCAGTATCTGTAGGATGGAGCACAGTTCCCTAAGAGCTGCTCTAGGGCCTGATGTGACAGTGCTCTTGCACATCTGTCCTTATTCACAGCTACCTGTCATCCCCACCCAGCTTCCCATGCTTTGCACATGTTGTGTATCTACCGCATAACTGTAGCTGCTCTCCCTAGTCTGCCTGGCACATACTCATGCTCCAGATTCAGTTCGGGTGTCTCTTGTTATTTGACACTTTCACTGGCTTCTCCCAGATAATTAATTATCTCTACTGTTCACCTGCTTGGACTTAGTTTCTGTTGCTTCACACTTTTAAAATATTTTTACATATCCATCCTTAAATTATTTAAAGACAGGGACCTTATAATTCCTAGCAGCTAGTATGGTACCAGTTACATAAAGATAAATGCTTAGTACTAGCCTTTTTCTTATTCTCAAAGTCGGTATTTAAGTTGAAGGTCATTTGTGATATCTGTGGATTGTTTTGATTAATTCATAGCAAGTAGAATAAAAGTAGCACTATTCATAATACACTCTACTTTTTCTTGACACTTACCACTATTAAATACTTTAATTTCCCTTTGTCTTCTGCAGTAAAAGTATAAGCTATAGGAGGCCTCTTATTTCTCATAGGAGACATAACTAGTAAATATTTATAGATTGAATAATTCATGAGGGTAAATAATATGCTGCCTTATACTTTTCCCCAATTATTCCATATTAATTTGGTCTCTCAAAATAGATTTACAGTGTTTTGGAGCAGAAACATGCCTGTTTTGTTTTGTGTCTACCACAGTGCTAAGTAAGTGCTTAGTAACATTATATACTCACTTGGCTGATTGATTTACCATCAATATCAAAACAGGAAAAAACTGAATTGGTCCTCTGTATCTCAGAGTGTTAAAAAAAAAATAATGTAAGGTTATAGAAAAGTATACTCTTACTATGATTTGGATCTTAAATATTTCCCCAAAGGTCCATGTTAAAGGACCTTGGTTGCTTTAAAGATCTGTCATGTTCCTGGAATCTTTTAAGAAACAAGACCTTTGAAGACCTTTCCTTCTCTCACTGGGGACCTGCCCTACATCCCAAATCTCCCAAACAAGTATATGGTGAAGGCTTAAATAAGTG